TCGCAATTCCGATCAGGGGCGTAACATTTCCATTACACACTCGAGGTATTAGGCCAATCACAACGCACTGGATAGCTGGCCAATCAGAGCACACCTCGCTTTTCAGAACGATGAGCTTTGTAAAAATCGACGCGTTTCAGAAATTTGTATTTAACCTGATCACGTTTAAAAGACATTTTAAGTTTAATTATAACGCCGCATGTCCACGATCAAACAACGAACAAATTAATTATACAGCGAGCAAAGAACATTTACATTATCAAAGAATATCACTGAATTCAGTCTAACGTGAGTGTAAGCACTCTAAAAAAAAGCTATAAGCTATAATCAGTGATGTTGTCTGCAGTGTATGATGAATTAATTTCTTATTCAGCCGTTTTTGTAGGCATTAAACTGCCAGAATTTTAAAAGACGATATCTCCGTTTGCATTGAACTTTCAGCTTCGTAACTTTGCAGATATTGTTTATGCTCAAACAGCAACATTACACACTAACTAACGTTAAAAAAGTGAAATCACAATGAACCACCCCTTTAAAGAATTTGCCACTTATGATTCAAACGCGAGTTTTGAGTAGTGTAGAGTAGCGCTTGTTGTTTGTCATTTCTCCAATCACAAATGCAGACATGGTTTTATGTTTACGCGGCGCGATGCGATGCAACGCAACGCGTAAAAAGACAGTATAAGTCATTATAATCCGTAATTATGTCCCCATGCACTGGATGCAACAAACGCCTCGTTTATAATGGGTTTTAATGTTTTTGTCTCGTCGCTCCGGGACACGGCATCACAATATGGTAATGGACGTAACATTTCCGTCACACGCTTGAGGTATTCGGCCAATCACAACGCACTGGATAGCTGGCCAATCAGAGCACACCTCGCTTTTCAGAACGATGAGCTTTGTAAAAATCGACGCGTTTCAGAAATTTGTATTTAACCTGATCACGTTTAAAAGACATTTTAAGTTTAATTATAACGCCGCATGTCCACGATCAAACAACGAACAAATTAATTATACAGCGAGCAAAGAACATTTACATTATCAAAGAATATCACTGAATTCAGTCTAACGTGAGTGTAAGCACTCTAAAAAAAAGCTATAAGCTATAATCAGTGATGTTGTCTGCAGTGTATGATGAATTAATCTCTTATTTACATCGCATACATCTGCACTTTGTTGTTTCTGATGAGAGAATTCGCCAAAGTGCACTGACCAAAATTTTTGCGTATCAGTGATGTTAATATTTAGCAAAATCCCCTTAAATAATAGAAATATTAAAGAAAAATTCTTGATCTAAAATCACAAAAGCACAAATATATATTGGTTCGCATATAACTCTGTCTTCATTTGTATGTTAATCTATAAGAGTGTGGGCTGATTAATATTAGGATTTTGTCAAAAATCCCCCACCATGGCCCCGCCCTGCAACATCAAGCCCCACCCCCAAGATAAAATATGTTCCCGTGGCTATGATGAGCACAGAATGTTGATTGCTCTTGCTGTTTTGATTTTATTCATTCCCAGACATGTGTGATACATCCTGTTCTCTGTGTCTGAAAGGAATTTAAACAAGGAGAGCCAGTGTCCGGCGGTAAAATCTAAATTAAACCACTAAATGAGACCATCTACTCTTGGATATGCTAAATTTGGTTGAAGGCCCTGAAATACTTCAAGCAAAATTGTAGAATGAACTGGTGTGACGCCATTTCAAGCAAACTGGGAATGCTATAGCTTTCTCCTTGATTGCACCATTCACTTCATCCAGGCTCCAATAACTCTGTGGGAATCTACAATTCCATTCTTGTCCTCAAGGAGAATTCCCTGAATACCGTGACCAATCTCCTGCGGCATTACAGTGAGGCAGCGCACTTTCCTCCTGCTGGTAACACCATGGATACTCTGTTAGGAGGTGGGAGAAAAAAGTGTGTGTGGTGCATCTCCAACATGAAAGATCTACAGGAGTCACAGGCCACAGCGGCTTGGAAGCCCCTCCGAAAGTTCTCGTTGAAGAAGCCGTAGATGATCGGATTAACACCACTGTTAAAGAATGCCAGCCAATGAGCTACGGGAAAAAGATAGCTGCTCAAGAAGTCAATCTGTTAGCAGTCCAGATCCTGATAGTCCGTGAGAAGCATCAAAGCCCAAAGCGGTAGCCAAGAGACCATGAAGAGAATGGCAACAGTGATGAGCATCTTGATGACTTTCATTCTCCTCTTGGAACGGACTCGATTCTCATGTAGGTTGTTGGACAGTTTGGCAGCGATGCAGGTGTACAGAATGCTTATGAGACCCAGCAGGGCCAGGTAAAGCGGAAATGGTGTTTAGAAACAATATTATTTTTGAAAATTGCACATAAATTCAAAATGTTTCACTTACAATTTGAGGTATTAATGAATCCCAGTAAATTTGAATTATATGTGGTTTGCATCTGCACGGAATCCCTTTTATTTATCAGGTAGAAAAGCAACAACATCAGCATGAAATGTCTAAAATATCAGCAGAATATATCCACACAATGGCATCGAACAAATTTAAAGAGAGATAAGGTTGGTTTATAGGACTGCTGTTGATTTGTTGGAAAGTCCCTGCTGATGTTTTGAAGATGGTGATGTTGAAGATGTGTGGAGATGTAAAACTGTAAAAACATCTGATTGCATCAAAGAAGTCAGAGCTGTGAATTTACTTTTTCAAGCTCAGGGGTCCCATGTAATGCCACTCATTGTGACAGCTACTGTACATGGGACCCTTGAGCTTGAAAAGTTCATTTTTTGGCCAATGAAGATTTTAGCAATTATTTAAAATGCACCTGATCACTCTACACAATAATCTAGAAACAATGTGAATGAACAACAGCTTAAGCAGCAAACTTTGCAAAACACAAAATTGATGTCACTGCCAAAACTTTTGGCCATGACTGTAGACTTGCTGTGACAGATCATCAATCCTCCTATTTTAAGAAGTCACACAAGTCATTGCAATCAACGCTGAATGTTTTTGATTCATTGAAAGAACCGGTTCATAAGTGTCACTCATTCTGAATTCTTAATTTATTTATTGTAAGGAAATAAAAATTGTGTTTTTTATTTTGTTTATATATATATTTTTAAATAAACAATTTTTTTTATTTACATTTTTTTTAATACATTTTCTTCCTGCAAGAAAATAAACAACGATAACAGGAATAAACAATTCTTTGCCACCAATGAATTTATAAAAGTCACCACACTGTGGCAGTAGAGAAAAAAATACCCTCAACAAAAAGCCATTTCAGG